TACTGGAGGGTCTTTTCGTACTGCTTATGCCTCGACCGCCCTTGGGGCCTCCGGAACTTCTTCAGCAAACCTATCAGGTTGACCTCCAATTGGTCCCCCGAACTCTGTCTCCAAAGAGGAGATATTCAGAGTGGGGTGGACCTCTTTCAGCCGACCCAGCAAGCCTTAGGCGCTCTAAGAAGCCCAAAAGTTGGCGAAGTCGTCGTACAGGGGGTGTTCTTCGAAGTGGTCAATGAAATTCTGAACCGCCACCTCCCTTGCCAACTTCAACTCCTTTTTCAAGGAGACGATCTCCTCAGATTGAGCCTCCACCTTTTGCCTCAGCTCCGCCTTTTCTTTGTTTGAGGCCTCCAGAGCCTCCGTGGCGAGCCGATGGTGCTCGTTGGTGTGATCCACTCGCCGACTCATGGCAGCCACCTGGCACTCCACCTCGTATAGCTCCTTCTTCAGCCGCTCCACTTCTACTCTGGTGGCAGTCAGCAGAGCCTCGGCCTCCTTCCGTCCTTTCTCCTCCTTAGTGGCCTTGGCCCGGGCCTCTCTCACAACGTCCCCATACTGGATTGCCTCCTCGAGGCGCTTGGCTAGATCCTCCCTCTTAGCATTCAGATCCTTCACCAAGCCCTCAAGTTGGATGCTGGTGCTAAAAGCCCGGGCCACGCAGGCGCTGTTGGCTGCCACCAGGTCTTCGACTGTGCAGAAAGCGTTGTGGTCCCTCCACTCTTCGGTTCAATATTTGTTGTGGACCACCGCCACCGCAGCAGTTTCTAGAAGAAGGGCCTCCAACACTTCTTTCACCGACTCCTCTGGGTTGACGCTCAAGAAGTCGAACTCTTTAGAGGGACAGGACCTTTTTCTCCTCTACTGCCCCGGCACTTGAGCAATAGGTACAGCAGCAAATGGCGAAGTGGCTGAGGTAGTAGCAACCCTGGTTGGTGCAGGCCTCTTCTCCGGAATGGCCACCCCGATTGGGATTGTAGTCTGCTTCAGAATGGGGGGTGGCCTCGCCATAGTTGGGCGTTTTAAAGGGATCGTACTATTTTTGCCCTTTCGCAACAGGTCGACCTCGGGGTCCTCTGGCACCTCCTCCTCCTTCGGAGGCTAGAGCCTTTTACTGGCATCCACCTGTTCCTCCATTTGCTTCTTGTAGGTAGAGGAGGAGGCCTTCAGCACCCGTGCCTCTGCCATCATCCTTTGGATGGTCTTAAAGTCGGGAAGCACGAGCATCTTCTTGTTGAAGTTGTCTGCAAGGAACAAAAGATGAATTAGTACAAGTGTAAACAGTTCAGAAATATTGAAAGAGTAAAGGCTTCGGGACGGTTACCTTAAGATGCCATCAGGTCGTGTGTAACGATTTGTAGATATTTTCTGATCAGCCGATGGTATGACCTCTTCTTCTAAGGCAACTGATAGATGATGTAAATAGTGTCAAAGTTTTCAGAAGACAGTTCGCACCGAGGAAGAGTACCTTCAATAGAAATACAAATGTTAGTCGTGATCCAAACCAAAGAGAAATATAAAGAAACGCAACTGCGATACTCACTAAGTGTCGAGTACTTCGTGGGGACTGTAAGAGGTGTTAGGGAGTCCCCCTCCATCGTGTCCCATCGTCATGTGGCCCAGCACCACGAGCTCTTCCACTCTTTGATGGAGCTCGGCAAATCGAGCACGAATAGAGCATGGGAACCCCATGAAGTAAGGTAATACCACCCTCGGGTCTTATCCTCCCCGGCTGTTACTTTAGGGATATAAAGGGTCTAAAAGATGGAGAAAGGCATCTCAACCCCAAGTGACGTCTCTTTCCACAACATCCAGGAGCCCACCATTTTGCTCCAGAAGTTCGGATTGAGTTAGGTCGGAGCTAATCCATAGGACCTAAGTACCATCCTAAAGAAAGGGTGAATTGGAAGTCTTAGGCCGGCTCTAAGGATCGCCTCGCTTATGGCCACGCACCTCGACCTAGGGTAGCAGGCCCTCTCTTCAGGCTCGGGGAGGATCGGATTTATGCTATCTAGAATCATATATTCTACCCTAAGTCTCCCTAGGTTGGCCTCTTTTAGTTTGGAGGGGTAATCCAACGCCCCCCAGTGCACAGAAGTATCAACCGGGCTATCCGGCCTCTTCCACATATTCTCCCTCCCAAGTATCGCTTCGGCTATATCAGAGGAGGTCGCCACAATGGGCTCGTCCATCCTCACTAATTCTAGCCCCCTCCCTGAGCCAGAACTTCCCTCGGAAGCCATTTTTCAGAAAGTAAAAATCCCAAAAGGTACTGAAACTTACGAGTTCAGAGGGTTCGCCAGCCGGAAATGGTCAGGAAATGGTGTAAGGTCATCGAAAATTGATATTTTCTCGACGAAAATGCTCAAAAAACACCAAAAATCGTGAATGATTTGAGAGCAAAGTGAATTTTTTGTTTGCACAAGGATGAAAAGCTTTAAAGACGCTCAAAGTCCGCCTTTTATAGAACGCTCCAGCTGATCTCCACCGTTGAATTCAAATACAATTAATCCAAGCCCTCTGTCGCATCATCAATCTAGGCCGTTGAAATGAAACGCCAGATTTAATCTACGCCTAAGATCTTGCTGTGACCCTCACGCTCGCGTAAAACGCATCACCTCAGTCACCACCAGCTGTCGACAATAAGTAGTCGCAACAGCCTTTTAGGGGAATGGGTATGACACCCAACTATCACATTGGAAATACGCAACGACTGTCAAATCATTTAACGCCAAATGCCTGCCTCGAGTCGATCTCCTCACTCAACTTTAGCTTAGACGCACCTGACGCGGAGTCCCCTGTGGGTCATCACCTCGGTCGATGCGTTCTCTCTTAAGCTTTACAAAGTTTTAGCCATCTCCCAACGCGTCGTCCCCTGCCGGTGGCAGATGAGCTCCTCACTCAACTTTACAAAGTTTAGACGCACCTGACGCGGAGTTCCCTGTGGGTCATCGCCTTAGTCGCATTCTCTCCTAAACTTTACAAAGTTTTAGCCATCTCCCAGCGTGTCGCCCCTAGTGGGTCAGCGCACCGGTGGCAGATGGGTGCCTCACTCAACTTTATAAAGTTTAGACGCACTTGAAGCGAGTATACTGTAGGTCATCGCCTCGGTCGCTGCGTTGACCTTCTTCCTACGCATCATCCAGTCTTGCAGCACTTCGGTCCCACATGAGTAATTGTTTTCCTTACATAGTGGCAAAGCTTTAAAGCATCTGCCTAAGATCATCGCTTCGGCGAATGCAGAAGATCGGCCCACAAACTCCCACAAGTCATGGTCCACGTACCGAGGCACACACATCCGGTCGGGAAGGCAAGTCCACCCATGATATAAATATTCATACCTGGACTTGGGGGACCACTGTTACGCCCCTATCTGAACCTCCTCGGAATGTCCACCACCACACATTCTGACATGCTAGACACCTATCCAAAGTGGTTTCGAAGTGATCTTCTCCATATCAACGACCTGCTATCACACTGCGAGACATATGCGATCCTACTGAATGGACCGAAGCGCCCTCGCCCCTGAGGCCGAGGCGAAGTGCACTGCGGGGACCTTTGTCAGAAGATCCACCACCAATTTCAGAAGGAGATCTTTGCTAAGATCCTTTCTGCCCCTTAGGTTTAAATTGATTTGACGTCTCTATGAGGCTAGTTGATGTGACTTATCAACTTTATGTCAATTCAACTCGGGAGAAGCAATTACCCGCCCACTCTACAGACGTGGCTGATTGACGCCTATGAGCAGATACCTCATACCGTCAAATGTATACACGTGCCCCACATTCAACGGTTCATCCCACCTATAAATACCCAAGGGTTGGCAAAAGGCAAAGGTAATGAAAATCTTACTACATAGCACTCCATAGCAAGAATATATATATTTTCTCCTCCCCCTTAATTATTTGGCACAACCATTGGGTACTGTTCCGACCATCTGAACCTGACTTGACCGTCGGAGTGTATATGACCGCCACCGCTAGTCTCGACCATGTATGTCTAACCGTGCGTTGATTGTGCGCAGGGAGGAATACGTGGAGTAGCTCTCAGTTGGCCACATAGAAGGTCCAATTTTCGAGGTCAACAAATTCCATATCCTCCGTCGATGTTAGAACAATAACACAAGGTCAATTGGGGTTACTAGTTGATGCAGTAAAATCAACATCAGGTAAAATGTCTTATTGTTCTATCCGCACGTTACAAAGGTAGACAACGTGTGCAAGAATGAAACTTAGTTCAAACTCATTTTCAATTATGCATTCTCTCAATAAAATAATTTTATACATGAACCTAAAACTTTTCTCATACATATTAAGAAAAAGTAATGGTTGCATTAAGTCGTTTTCCATTCCTAAACACATTAGACTCTGTTTGATCCTTATTATTTTCAAAATACATTTTCATCTATTCTTTTCAATTACACATTTTTCAATAAAATAATATTATGCGTAAATTCAAAACATTTTCTTATTTTTTAACCACGTATTATCCATCAATCTACTATTTCAAAATGCATTATTAGAATATGTTATTTTTTTTCCTTGCCAAAAAATTACCTATTTTACTTCTAAGTAACTTCAAACTTTTTATGTTCAGCCAAACATGCCAGTACGCTATCCCCCTTTCTTCTAAAGAATTTTCTAAAAATTGAAACGCTCGCGCGCGCCCTAAATTCAAATCGAAATCCAGTAATCCGAGAACTCACCGAGTTCGTAAAAAAATGGCGCACGCAGCAAGATTGAATCTCCGAATGCAGAAGGAATTGAAGCTCCTACTCACCGACCCACCTCACGGCGTTTCTTTTCCTTCCCTCTCCGATGACTCTTCTTCTCCATCTTCCTCTCTCACATCTATTAATGCCCGTATGCCGATCAGATTCATCATATTACATCTACCGTATTTGTGTATAATAGTGTGCGTAGACTTATTTTTGAGTTACTGGAAATTCTAATTTTGAGTAATGCAGATGTTAAAGGACCTGAAGGGACTGTCTATGCCACTGGGATTTTCAAAGTTGAGATTCAAATTCCTGAAAGGTATGATTTTCTGCTTTAAAATTACTTTATTTATTTTGATTTTTTTTCCTGAATTTTGATTTCTGTATTCATTGGTGAGGTGGGTTTCCATTGTACTCTTGATTAGGTATCCATTTCAGCCTCCTATTGTGACGTTTGCTACGCCGATATACCATCCAAATATAGACACTGGAGGCCGAATTTGTTTGGATATCCTCAATCTTCCTCCTAAGGTGTGTGTCTCATTTCATTGCTTTCAATTACAACCGGGTATAATTATTGCATGAACTTAGTTAAAATCTTCAGTGTTAAATACAAAGAGATTCTTAATTAGTTCTTAAATTAATCGGAGGCTATTAGCCAGTTTGATCATTGAAAAGAAAGTGTTAAGAGCGTAGCTTGCAGTTCTAATGTATCTCCATCATGTAATCGCCACATCTTAAATGGCAGATGCTAAGAATAGTTCGAAATTGATCAGTAGCACGTTTGGCTAAGCTTAAATGGGCGCTTGCTGTCAAAATCATGCTTTTAAGCTACTTTAAGACCAGAACTCAGTAAGGAACTTACCCAACTGGTTATGGATGTCGAGACTTCAGTTGCTGGCTACCCTTTCATCGTGTCACCAACTTTCTCGACGTTCCGGCACTGGGAAGGTGTCAGCCTTATTCATGATTGAGTTTAACTTCAGCAAGACAATTATCTATATAATAAATGAGCTGCTTATTAAAATGTTTGCTAGCAAGAGTATCTCAAGATAAGGCTTTGTTTAATTAAGTGTATCTCCTGTTTTGACAATTTTCAATGTTTATTTTGTTGCTCTTTGTAGTTAATTCATGGATCATATTTTAACTGAAGCAGGGTGCCTGGCAACCATCTTTAAATATTTCAACTGTCTTAACAAGCCTTGGACTATTGCTAAGTGAACCAAACCCTGATGATGGCCTTATGCATGAAGCGGTAAGTCCGTATGAATTACTAAGAAAGCTAATTAGGAGAGTGCCTGTGGATTTTTATAGACATAAAAGTTGTTGTGCAGAGCAAGGAGTACAAATATAACCGAGCAGCATTTGATCATAAGGCAAGATCCATGACTGAAAAATACGCCAGAGCTGGAGAAAGTGAAAGTGCTACTGGTGGCCAAGGATCTCAATCTCACACAAATCAAAGCACCTTACAAGTAAGGTTACTTGGTTGGATTTATCATTTATGCAAGTGCCTACTTTTAATACTATTGTGTATTTTGTACAGAGCGAAATGAATGTATCAGATGTATCATTGTGTGAAAATGAGTATTTTGTAAGCCATAAGAGATTCAGTGGAAGCAGCAGGAAGCTGTCACTAGAGTGTTCAGGCTTGATTATGAAATCGGACAGTGGCAAGAGGACCTATGATGTGCCTGGAAACCAGATGGATGTTGGACTGAAGGAAGGTAATAAAGAAATTGCCACTGAATGCAATCGAGAATGTGACAATCTACAAGTCACTAGGGATAAATATCAGCAGAAATTTTATGATGTCTCCAACATTAGAAATGCTGACAGCGTAGATATTGAGGTGCCAAAACAAGGTCCCTCTGCTATGGAAACCCGAAACCCTTCAATGGATTATTCAGTGTCCTTGCTGCAGACTGCTGACAATCACAAGCAAGAACCCCCTAAAAGTGAAGTATGTAAGTTATTAAGTGACAGCAAAATTATTACTTTGGAGAAATCTTCAGAACAGTCACTACAATCTCTCGAGTCGAGCAAGAGAAGTATCCACTGTGTTGAGAAACTGACCGCTATGCCTCCACAGACGGTCTCTCAAAGTAGCAGCCACAATGGAATAAATCTGTACAAGAATCCTTTCGATCAGATTGGGAATGGCTCTGCCAGTATCAGGCGCATGAGACTAGGTTTGGTCAGAAGGAAACCATCCTTGGGGCCTCTGAGTTCAAGCCGACGCCCTTTAGAGGATAACAAAGAGAATCAAGCTCCATTCCAAACCTTGCCCCCTTCACAACCAAAAGGACAATCTGGAAAGCTGCCATTGAAACCTCTAGATCAATTGAGAGGGAGTAATAATCAGGTTGACTTGCATTCTGAAAAATCCTCTACAAATTGTTCTAGGAACCTGCACCTGTCGTGTGATGACAGGTACAATGAAAAGCAGCAATCTAAACGAGTTCATGATGAGGAGTCTGCTGGTGGATTCATACAGCAGGAAGAACTGTTGCCAGTACCCGAGACAGTGATCGTGTCAGATAGTGAAGATAGCGAGGATGAAAATATTTCTGCAAGGTCCAAATTGTCACTAGCCCGGAAATGCCTTTCAAGGAAGCGAAAAGGTTCCCATTGATTTATGCTTACTACTTTACTAACTTCAAATAGCGTCTAATTTACAATGGAAAATTCTTCAAGTTTCAAATTGCAAATATTATAGGCACACTACTAATGATAACAATGTGTAAGGTACCTGTGTGTACTTGTACTGTATAATTTCATCTCAATAGCACTGACATTTTTTTTGGCTTCCAGCACATTGATACATTCTTTTCTATCAATGGAAATTCGAACATATGACCTTCCCTTAAGATAGACTTAAATTAAATCCTAGTACCGATTGTCTCTCTTGTGGGGAAATGATTTGGTCTTTGTGTCCAAACCGTTAATTTCCATACTATCAACTCTAGGAGAGTCCAAGCTCATTTTACACCTTATGAATTTCTGTCACGTCCTAGGTTGGTACAAAAAAATGTGCATTTTTTTATAACGACCCTGATTTCATGCCGACCGTTCTCTTATGTAAAGTCTGTTTTAGGAGGAAATATTTTCTCTTACTCTTCAAGGCTTTTTGTTGCATTCCTTAGAATTCGAACAAGCGACAGAAAGCTTTGAGGGGGGTGCATTTTTCTGTCACGTCCTAGGTCGGTACAAAAAAATGTGCATTTTTTATAACGACCCAGGTTTCTTGCCGACTGTTCTCTTATGTACAGTCCGTTTTAGGAGGAAATCTTTCCTCTTACTCTTCAAAGCATCGCATTCCCTAGGATTCAAACAAGCGATAGAAAGCTGTGAGAGGGTAAGACAGAAGATTTCCTCCCAATGCAGACAATATATAAGGGAACGACAAGGCACAAATCCTGGGTTGTTACAAGTCTGTTGGCATATTCAAATAACAAGAAAAAGGATTGCCAATACTCGAGACAAAGATCATGTTGGGTAGTGAACATAGCGAGGATGAAAAGATCATGTTGGGTAGTGAACATAGCGAGGATGAAAACCTATTTACGAGGTCCAAATTGTAACTAGCTTGGAAAATGCTTTTTAAGGAAGCGAAAAAGCATTTAAAAGTATTCTTACGAACTTTTAAATAAAATTCCTCATATATATCTGCCGTAATTCCAATCTTCAACACTTCAATCTAACCCAAAAAAAACTTGTGAAAATTCATACATACAATGACAACAAATTCTACAACACCGCTAAACAACAATAAAAAAATTCCACAGACAATTTTGAACAATCTACCGACATTCACTAACCAAACATTGACAATCTAGAGAACAAAGTTAATCACAAGAAACTAATTAAGCATTGTTCCCAAATCCCAATACCACAAACAAAATTTTCAAATAAAAACAAACCATCAAAATATAATATGTATCAAAATAAATAAATAAACAAAAACTTATTACAAACAATAAAACAATGTACTATATATCAAAATTAGAATTTTATTTGACTTCTCTATAAAATTGAATCCATTCATTCCAGACCTCGTCAAGTAAATCTTGGGAAAATGCCACACTATTATTGTACTGTAAATGTAGAAATGAAATTTAGCAAGAACAATAATACGTTTAGTGGATATGTACTCAAAGATAGTAAAAAAAAAAAGAAAAAGAAAGCAATGCATACCAATGACATTAACGGGGTATCATTCTAGGTTATTATATCCCTCATGTATCGAATCACAAAATATCCGCACTCTGCATTACCAGATTGACGAGGACACTGTGAATACACATGATAGAAATAACGTTTATTTTATATCAAAACAAAAAAAAATGTAAAGCAACACTAGTTTATAAATACTAACTTACCCGTACAAATTCGTAAGAAATTGTCCTGCACAAATTCAATTGTTTAGTAGTGTCAAAATGTTTGAATACCCTGTTTTCAATATAAATATATAAGCATTCATGCATTACATTCTAATTAGCAGGAAAAATATATCACTTCGATAACGAATTTATCGGTTTGAAAATTATGCTATTATGTATATATAAACTTACAGATCAAGGACGTCTTTTATCTCTTGGTGCACATCCTTGTTTAGAGAATCAAATATGTGTACTGTGTTGGCATAGGGTTCTATCACAAGTAACACCCAATGCATTCTAAAAAAGTCGATGAAATTTTAGAAAAAATATCTTTAGAATCTACAACACTTAAAAATTGAACTCTAAAATAACCAAATGCTTACCCTATATTAAAGGGTATAAGTTCCAACTAACCAGGCACTAGAACTCCCAATTTAGAGTTGAGATCTTGGGCTCTATTCTCAGCCGTGCCCGAGCCTCTTGATGCAATTGTTGGGTCGATGAAAGCGTACTTGTTGGTTAAACTTAATTCCTTAAGCTTACAAAAAAAGCATCTAGATGAAAAATGAANAAAATCGAAGGTCTTTCCTTGGACAGTATCCGTCCCAGCACTACCATTCAACTGCTCCTCCAACTCTTTAATATAAGCTTCCTCTAAGCCTGTGCCATGGAAGACTGTGTTTTGTGCTTTTCTAGCTCAAGCTGCTTCTGAAATAACTCATCGTGCCGTTTCTTTTGGAAGCTACATTGTGCAGTATTGATATAGGCAGGAGTGACGAGATCTATGTAATAACGTTAATGAGCATTTTCAAATATAAAACACAAACAAAGAAGAAGGTAAACTAATAATGAAATGTCGAAGCACAATGATTAATCGCATTACATGAACATGAGAGACTATATTGATGAGTGATTTACTTGGTTTTGTTTAATATCGCAAAAGGCAAAACTGGAGTAGTGATACCTGGTTCAAGTGTAGCGGTCTGGATTTCAACAATTTCTTCTCCTGACTCTTCTTCATGTAATAAATCCTTCCCTTTGTTTTTGATCCTGCTTGTCAGTTGTATAACCAAGTCCTCTATCTCATCTTCCTCCTCTTCATGCTAAGAAAAATAGTCGCCTGGAAGTGCAAAATTAATCTCTGACACAGAGGGAGAGCTCATTCCCCTGAGGTAATTGTTGAACTCAGTGAATATATTTTTCAACCTCTCAGAATGTATCTCCAACTTGATTTTGCAATTTATCCGTGGACATTTTAATTTTGGCATCACTTCTCCTTCAACCTTTAGCGTTTTCAGTGCAGGCATATGCTCTAGTATGAAAACTTCTAGACTGGGGAAGAAACAGGAATATGAAATCACCATTTCACTTCCGATATAGGAATTCGCACGAAGTTGGAGCTTCTTCAAATTGATTCGTTTCCCTAACTCCATCATAGGATCTTTCTGTAGTCTGCTGCCGACCAAAGTGAGCTGGTTGAGGCTAACTGGTAGTTCTGGTAGCTTCCTAATTATTTTTCTGTTATAAATGTCTTCTTACGTAGGAGAATGTTAAATATCTTCCAGGAATAAAGCTTGGAGAAAATGTTGTTGCAGATCCTGAACTTGAAAATGCAGGTATTTTTGCAAACATCAGCGTTTATCTTGTGAGAGTTGTCCATTTAAATTTCATTTTTTTATCTGAACTTGCTTGTTAATGTTGTTTGTTAACATTTTATGTTTTTTTATTTTTTTAATCTCCAGGCAGTCTAAAATTTCCTCTTTAGTTTTCTTCTTCTATTTCGGTTTTGCATTTTACTGCTGTTTGAAATCCTGCTGTTTTTATCTTGTGGGGTGTCTTAAATTTCAATTTCTTGATCTGGGTTATTTTCGTTTGAGAACATTGTGTCTCGAATTTCAATTTATTGATCAGTGATTTGTTCTTTACATTTTTTCTTGTGAGGTTGTCTTAAATTTCAATTTTTGGATCTGGGTTTTGTCCTTTAATGTTGTTTGAAAACGTTTACTGCTACTGTGTCTTTTATTTGCTTAATTTCCTATCGTTCAACCCAAATCATACCCTAAAAAGAACCTAATTACAAAATGATTCCTAAGTAAACCTAATTATTGAAGGGCCTTATATTAATTAGTCGCCTAGGACCTCTAAATTCTCAGGGCCGGCCCTGATCTGAAGTTTTGGACGATACTCTTGAAGTGTTCTGCCACCAGTTTCTGATCGCCCAAAAATTGAAGAAATGCACGTCTCGCGGAAATTTTACAATTTGCAAACATGTGGTTAGTTGTTCTATGACCTTCTATTATGAAATTTGAAGAATTGTTATTGCTGGCATAAAACAATTTACTTTTGGTAGCCTTGAAATGCAAATATTGTGCAGAAGATCATGGATGCGGCAAATTTTAACTTCCCATTAATTTTCCTCCTGACTACAATGATCAAATTCCTAGCTATCAATTCTTCTAAGTAATCTTCCCCCGTATCTTTTACTGTTTGTGTGCCATCAGGATGTATGAATCCTTCAGCCACCCACTGATTCATTATTTTAAATGCGGGAATTTCATGGCCTTTAGGGAAACTTCCGAAATATAGAAAGCACGGTTTCAAATGAAGTGGTAAATCTTTGTAACTTAAGGCTAAGCTATTCGAACAATCCTGATCACAGTCCATGTTATTGAGTACCCTGCTCCATACGTCTGGCTGTCTCTCTCTTCTCCTCAACATGCCTGAAGTGGCCACAATTGCTAGAGGAACACCACCACATTTTTCGATTAATAGTCTACTGACAACTTCTAATTCAGATGGTATGTTCATACTTTTATTTTCTTCATGAGCCATGAACAATGTCGAGAAGAGTTCTCAGCTGCTTTTGGATCTAGAGGCTGCAGCTCATGTAAAGAACTTTCTCCACCTATGCCTCTACCTACACTACTATATCTCGAAGTAAGAACAATGCTTATTCCCATGTCAGAGTTTGGGAAGCCGGCTTTTAGGTATTCCCATGTATTTGTATCCCAGATGTCATCCAGGAATATAACACATCTTTTCCCTTTCAAAAAAGAATAGAGATCTTCAATCAAGTTCTCTTCCTGTTGCTTCTTTACTAAGCCGACTTGTCTAGCAATGTTTTTCATAAGATGGAATCTAAGACACATATACCCAAGCTGAGCAGAATATAAAATCCTTGGCTGAATTATACACTTTCTTAGCTAGAATTGTTTTCGCCACTCCTAGCATACCAACAATGGAAATGATACAACTTTGTGACTCCGAATTTCTCAGCATGCTAATCAATGTATCAACCTACCTGTTTAGGCCAACAACATTTGGTTCTTCAAAATGAGAGTAAGATTTTCTCCTATCCATGTGATCACTCTTATCCTTGTCAGGATTATCAAGAAGCCCATATCTTGCTTTCGCTTCAGTGATTTCAGTTACTCTTCTTCTGATCTTTTCTATTTTCATCACCAACTGATGG